TGCTAACCAACTCCCACGAGGGCTGAGGCTGCAAGCCAGCACAGTCCCCTTCCTCTGGGATGCCTGCCGGCTATCACCCTTGCCCTAAGCACACCCCTCAGGCCTGAACGAGGGCGCTGCCTACCCCATCACTTGAGTGATGAGAGCTCCAACTTGGTACCATTTCATAGACCAGGCTCATGGGAAATTCTAAAGATACAGACAAAGTGAGGGGCCTTGGAGAAATAACTGTGACCACTCTTTACCTACATACTATAGGGCAGCAAGTGCGGGATCAGAAAAAGTCTAAAATCAAAGGTGAGCTGGGTTTTGGAAGTTCAGCCCCTCTCCAAGACGGGCTTGACAAATACAGAAGCCCATCCAAACAATGTACACAGAGCCCAGCCCAGGTGGCTCAGTGGACTGAGCACCCTCCCATGGACTGAGAGGTCCTGGTTCGATTCCAGTCAGGGCACATGCCTGGGTTTGGGGCTGGATCCCTAGCAGGGGGCTTACAGGAGGCAGCCAATCAATGTATCTCTCACATTGATGTTTCTCTCTCTCTCTCCCTTCCTCTCTCTCTAAAAAAAAAAAAAATCAATAAAAACATATTTAAAAAATATTTTAAATATGTACACAGAGGCTGCTCATATTTTTTATTTTTCTCACTTTGTTTTAAACAGCTAACTCCCAGACCTCAGACAAGTAGGAAAAAGGCAAACTGCAGAAAACTCCTGATGACCCTAAACTACCACTTGCCATTTATAGAGGCTTCACCCCAGGATCTCTAGAGCCCTGAACTCAGAAGGAAAAACTCCCAGAGAACTGCCAGAAATCATTTCACAAGTGTTCTCCCCTATTCTCTCATGTAGTCACTCCTCACCCCACCCCTCCCACCGCCACCCCAGGGAGGCTGAGAACTCCCCTCTGGCACCTCACCAGCCCTGCAGCCCAGGCTGGTCTCTGACAGTGCTCAGCTATCCTGAAAGCTCCCCAAATCACCCACACTCATTATCATCAAGACCCCAAAAAAAGACACCATAGGAAAATCCACAAGCCTTGGCCGGCCGGGAAAAGCCACTCAGGGTAAATGCATGATCTCTAAACACATTTGCTTTTCAGCCATTCTTCAGACTACTTCAGACGAAACAAAAATTTCTCCTCTACCAGAACTTTGACTATTGTAGCAGAGATTGTCGGAGCTTAAGGGGCTGCTGGGGGCCCTTTCCCCTGTGCTGACATTCTTCTGTGGCCTCAATAAAATACATGTGGATGCACGTGTGCCCCCCACCCTCCAAACACACACAGACCCCATCCATCGCTCTTCAAGGGCAAGGACCAAAGGAGAAGGGGAGGGTGGCCAGGACGGGAGGGCCCCAGATCAATGGATATTTGAGACTTAAACACATGGCCAGGACCTACACCGCGCGTGTTAATGACCACACATGTGCCTGTAAAGGAGTCCGCGAAACACAAGGGGCCCAAAGATCAGAGCGAGGCAAGGACATTCCAAGGGATTAAATAAATAGTCTGAAGTTCTGACCCTCTCCCTTCCAGGAGCACATGCATCTGGGTAAGATAACAGCCCCTCCCTCCCTCCTCACCCCCCCTTCTCCCCTCGGGCCTCACACCTGTGGACCCAGGAGCCGCAGCAACCCAGGCCTCCCTGTCCAGGCCAACCGGCTGTGACCTGCTACTGCCTGGCCTCTCTCCCTCCCTTCCTCCTGCTATCTCTGAGCCTCCTCCCCCTGCCTCCTCGTGCTCTGCCTTTCTCCTCTCCTGTGGAGGACTCGTTCCTGGCTGGCTACCAGACTCCATCGTTGCACAATACGCCTTTCATTCCTGCCAGGCAGAGAGAACCGATCCCTCCAGCCTGTCAGCGGAGCACGTTCAAGAGGGTGGGGAGAGAATAGGCTGGGTCCACTCCTCCCCCGCGGCCCCCCACCACTCGCACACCCAGTCCCCCAGCCTCAGCTCCCTTCTGGCTGCACCCCTCACCCTGCACAGGGCCCGGCCTCGCATCTGTCTGTGGCAGGCCTCGGGGATGCCTTCTAGGAGATCCCACGTGTGGGCACGAGCTCAGACAAGGGGCCTTTGTGTCTTCCCACCTGCTGCCCTCCGGAGCACATTCCATTCTTAAGTGGCAGCTGAAAGAGGGGCCTCAGTGGGCCAACACAGGACATTACGAGTGCCCTCTCGCACCCTGTCCCCATTCAAACCTCCGCTTCCTGGACAGGTGTGGCTTCAGGTGGCCCTTCCTCCAGGTGGTCCAGAACTGCTTCTCACTGCATCGCCCATGGCAGACAAAGAGAAGAGGATCAGCACCTATGCTGATCCTCCGAAGTAGGAGTGCCCACTGGCAGAAGTCAGTTCTCCAGGGCCAGGGAGCCCTAGCATCCCTCTCTCTTCAGGCCTTTGCACTGAAGAGGAAACCTCTGCAGAACCATCTGGGAGGGAGAGACTCATCTGAGGCAGGACAGCCAAGAACTAAAATTTGATGGCAACTTATCTCTGAGATGAGGCTTCAGACTCTACTCCCCTGTTCCTTGCACCATCCCAGGAAGAATCAGGTTCCCCTGCCCTCTTCCAGATGAATCCACAAGATCCCACCATGACCGTGTCTGATTCTCAGTTATCCACAGGGTGCAAAGCCACATTGACCTGGAAAGTACTCCTCTGTGCAGTTTAAGAACCCAAACCCCACGGACAGCCGTTCTCGCTGTGGGTGCTTTATTTGACACCATGCACTCAGTTCCCTTTCGTGGGGAAAATCTGGGTGGTCAGTTCTGTGTGATTGCCAATTTCTTTTTGTACCACCAGGACTTCATGCCCAGAAATAAAGGCCATGATCTGAAGACTCCAACTGCAACAAGAAAAACCAAAGGGAGCTTTCTTTTTCAACCCCAGTAAGTTACAGGCACATGCCATTCACAGTGTTGATGATTTCAGGTCTTGGCAGAAAGAGCCGTTCATGCCCCTCTCCCAGTAGGAGGGAACCACCAACACTCATGGCTGTGTCCTCTGTTCTGGGAAAGACCTGGAAAGGCACTTCCTCCCTTTTTTCCACCCACTTACTCATTCCTGCTTGCAGGAAGGGGAGAGTCCATCTGGCGCATCGATCAGTCCATGTTTTCTAGCAGGTGGTGGGGTCACCATGCTCTACTTCCACATCTTCTGGGAGCACCTGCACTTAGGGCAGCAGGTTCTCCGGACACTCATCTGCATTCAGGAAGGGGGACCGTGCCTCCTCTTCCCGTCCCCAGGCAATTAGCACCTCGAGCAGGGTCCAGGGAACTCGCCTTGGTCTCCCTGTGACGTCATGTGCACCTCACTCTGATCCTCTGCAGACCCACCTATCACGCAGATCTTATGAGCACAGAGTTCCCAAGGGCTGGATTCAGGTGGGAAGCCTCAAACTCAACCAAGGTCCCTGTCTGGGTTTTACTTGAGAGCCCAAAACGGGGCTCTGGATTGCTCGCTCATGCGATGAAATTGAAGGCTGTTTTCTATGCAACGACAGCGCTCCATGTGTCTATCATCCTGGACGTGAGCAGCAGTGAATCTCAGTGTCTGCCACACTGGAAATTGTGGTCCGCATACCCAAGGGACCTATTCCTCACGGCAGCTGGTCCCCTAAGAGCGCTCAGACACCTGCCTTCACGGGGATATCGGTACTTTGTAGGGCCTGGTACAAAACCAAAACAAAAGGCCTTCTGTTCAAAAAGCAGGACACTAAATAAAGTTTTCTCCTCTCTTCCATCGTCTCTCTGGACTTCCCATGGTGCTTTTAATTTGCTATTTAATGTTGTCCTAGGTAAAGAAAAATTTTTAAATTTTCGCGTACGACTTCGCTGCCCCCCGTCTGGCCCTGCGGACCCACTACCGACACACCTAGCCGGCTCTCGTGAGCACCACGTCTGGTTCCTCCAGCGCCCCCGCCAAGAAGAAAGTGGTTCAACAGCTCCAGCTGAAGCCGGGCTCGAGGCGGGGAGGTTTCCCAGGCAGCTGCAGATCTGAAACAATTCTGTCTGCAGAATGCTCAACATGACCCCCTGCTGACTGGAGTGCCAAGCGCCAGTCCCTTCGGACCCCACAAAGTCTCTTCCTTTTTGGAGTGAAATGAGTCTTTGTAGGTGTTCTAAGCCACATGTCCTGAACCGATGAATATTCAAGGAGAGTTAACTGGAAGCCTGGATAAAAAAAACTCATCTTGTAACATGTGCCATGCTCTACAATCTTCTGCTTTTGTCCGTCCTTAGCATCTACCTCTCTGAATTTTCATGGATTTCTGCTCCACAAGGGTGATTATTTCATATACACTGGCAGCAGCATACAAATAAAATACTTTGTAGAAAGAGTTAAACATAACTAAATACATAAGACTTTTAGCGTGCTGTAAAAGCCCCGTTGCACGCCCCACAACAGTGACAGGCACGGGGTGGGGCCAAGGATCAGCAGCTGACGTGACCTGCACGTATTTCTTCTGCTCACACGCATGCTTCATTGTCCCGGCGACTTTACATACTTGAAAGCACAGGTTCAAATACAAAATAAGTAAGAATTTCACGACAACGACTGCACAGGCCGCAGGCCCACGGAGCCAGCCTCGTCTTGGTGACGAGGATCGGGAGGAGCTGGGATAATCGGAGAAGCAGGGAGGGGAAAATGCCCAGATGGGTTTCCAAAACAAGAGAGTCAGGGCACGCCTGCTTCCATTCCCCTTCTTGGGGTAACACCGGCTAAGTGGTACGCTGACTGAACTGCCAGGAACCAAGGCCCTCCAGGTCCCTGCCAGCTCTGGGCCCTGCACTCACTCCCTCCCTCAGACACTCTGGGAGTTTGGTCCCCACCACCGATGAGCCTGACTTACCTCGGTGCTTCTGGGAGGAAACAGAATTAGAAGGGAGAGTTTCTGCAGGGCACTCTTAGCTTTCACCCAGCTCCTTCCATCTTGTGCAAGAATTCTTGCGCGGACTGGCTTTAGAAGCAAACATTTAGATAAAGCGTGAAACTCCACTCACCTTTCCTTCCTGAGTTGCCCTGGCTCAAGGGCTTGTCGGTGACGGAACCTTGTGCGAGAAGGGAAACAAAACATAGACATTCAGAATGCATCACGGTGGGTTCCTTGCACAGCCGGCAAAGCCTGATGTTCTAAGCATATGGTTGTGTGTGTATATATAGTATACACATCTAGGGACATTATATACAAAGTCAGTACGTACATGCATGTCGAGTGGCGTCTGTTTAATGTCAATGTCACTGATATCACAGCACTGTTGAGATGAACCATGATTTCCAGGTTCCCTGGCAAGAGTCTTCACCAGACTTTCACAGAATTCCACATCCGCATCACTCCCTTATGGAACGTTCCAGTAACTGCCCCTCACCTCCACTCCCCATCTCCCCCACTCTCACCAACTCCACGTTCTGAGCCACATCCATTCAGTAAGGCCAACCGAAAAGAAACCCTCTCTTACTGCAAATGCAGTGATTGACATCCCTTGCTGGTTAGGGCAGGAAATCGGCGATTTTCCATCTGTATTAAGTAGAAAATTGTTGGCCCAATTGTCCTTAATGGGCCAAAATAGTCTGAGGCATGGAAACAATTTTCTAGATGCAGCAGGCTGTTCCTGAAGGCGGGTGTTTGGCCAAACTGGGTGTTTGGCCAAATGCTGCCCTGCAGCCGCTAGGATGCCTGATGCGTCCATCCCGCGGTCCAGCCCCGTGGCACCTGTCTTCCCCAAGAAGCCCACGCGGCCCGCTCATCCACGGAAGGGCCTCTGTGGAGGTCTCACCAACAAAAGGAAAGAAGGAATCCGTGTTTCCAAAGTCTCTATCATACCCCTTCTCCGTGTGCTGGTTTTGTGAGAATCCAATTATCTTACCCTGCATGACTTGTTTCTAGTGCCTTTGTTTGCTTTAAATGAAACTTTCCAGGTCGTCTGCAGGGAGGGCTCATTCCTGCCCCTCCCCACAACAACCCCAAATAAGGTTTCCAGTTTCCATGTAAACCACAAATAAAGTAAACTTTCCCTTTTGGCCTGTAAATCTTGGTTTCATAATGTAGAGACTTAGATGCTTACTGCCCTTCCCACTTATGTCTCCCTTTATATAGCAGGGTCAGTAGGAAAACGACTACATTTTGTGAAAAAAGAAAAATGGCAGAATGGCTAGCCTTTGGAATTTCCCATGGGTTTTAGAATAAGGTTTTATATTTTGCTTGCACTTAAAAACTAAAAATAAATAAATAAATAAAGCCACACACACGCAGAGATAGAGAAGTATGAAAACAGCTGATGGTGGGGTGGGGTTTTTCTTAATGAGGCCGGAGCTGCACAGTGAATTAAGGGCATGACTCTCAAATCCCTGACGATCTTAATGGAAGTGGAAAGTGTGGGGCTTGTGTAAATCCATAACCCACAATCCCATGAAACTGACCCAAGAGCTAAGCTTCTCTATGCTTATCAAGTTGCAAGTAGAAAAGACTTCACTTTTGCCATGGGCTAACCTAGAGGGTCACTAAAGCTGTGGTTCCCTGACGTGTCTAATCATAAACAACCACCTGAGACGCTTCATAAACATGTGGACTCCAGGCCTCACTGCAGACCTACTGGATCGGAACATACAAGGAGGGGCCTCAACACCTGGGTTCTGTTTAGTTTCCCGGGCACCGCTGAGGATGGCCAGATTTGAGGGCCACAGTGATGAGAGTTTTCCATCACTCTGCCTCACATTGTTCAGGGGTGGCACATATATGGTACACCAGCCACTGCTCTCCCATCCTGTGCTCATGACAGGCATCACTAATCGATCACCACAGCCTCTGATGCTGAACTCCCACGCAGTCTTGAAATCCACCTCAAATCCACCAGGGCCACTAGCAACCAGAGCATTCAAGCTGCAAACATACATCCCGACACTTAGGGAAGAGCCTTGAGCCAGAAAGCTAGACTTACAATGAAAAACACACGCACACAGGCATATACTGACCCTACCACCCAGCTGACTCCAGAGCACGTGTGTGCTTGAGTGGATCCTCCCTCCCCTGGGGGATGGCTCATACCCCACCAGCCTTTCAAAGATTCCCCCACAAGACGCAAGAGACAGCCAAGGGGTCTCTCTCCAACCCTTTTCTTTCTTCCCGCCCCTCCCTACGGTACCTGAACATACAGGAGTTTTATTCTGCACAGAAGAGCCGCTGATGGGCTTCCCATCCGGGGTGACACACCAGCAGTACCCCGTGTAGGTGTGGCACTGCACCTGTGCAGGAAAGTCCAGAGGGGAAGAACTGTAAGTCTTGGGGCACAATATCGACAGTCACCTCTCACCCCCTTGAAAGCATCGCCAGTGCGGTGGACGAGCTCCTTCCGCCTCTCGCCCCAGCACCTGTCCCCAGAGCATCTCCTGCAGGTGGGCCTGTCAGTCAACAACATCACGTTTCTGCATGACTTCCGCGCACAACCACAGAAATGTATCTACTTCTTTCTTCCGACTTTAACACTGACTATCTTTATACTTACATACGTCTAGTGTGTGTTTCCGGGGATGGTTCTCACCATCACCAATACCCACATATTTTCCCCCCAAGCACTAGCATACACTCCCATCCAACTGCAAAAAAATCTGGTTAGTGAATTAACTTGGCAAATACAGTGAGAATGTCACCACTGGAGGTTGGTATGACCCTTGTCTAACAAGCTGACGGCGGTAAGCTCTTCTTCCTTCTCCAGCTTTCCCCAGCACCCATCCGTGTCGTCGGCCTGCCTGTTGGTCAGGTGGCTCTCCTGAGACAAGGGCACACGTGATGGGGTTAAGGTGAGAGCAAGGGCACTCATGCCTGCAGCTCTAGATGCCCCCCTGCATCACTGTGTGATCACGTTCGAGCCTCCAGACCGGGTCCCTCTGTCTGGGAATAGTAAATGAAAATGAGGCTTTTCTTCATCTGGGGTAACCCTTCTTTCTCTGCCAATAGCTGTCACTCTCTCCACCTCCTCCCAGCCCACCATCCGCTTCCTGTTTGCTTTCTACACGAGTCCCTAAACACGAAACAGGGCATCACTCCCCTGCTTAAAAACCCTGGATGATTTGCTAGACTCAGGATGGAGATGAAGCTCATGGTCATGCAGAACCTCGAGGTCCTCCATCTGCCCCCTCCTAGTCCTGCAGTCTCATTTTACACCCGCGTCTCCACACACTCTCCATTCCAGCCACAGTGAACCCGTGGACACCTGTAAGCAAGTCCAAGTTCCTCACGAGTCTGAGCTTCGTTTGCTCCAACTGTTCGATCTGTCCAACAATACCGCTCCATAACCCATGCCCAGCCCAGTCCTAATCCCTTCCAATCCCCACCCTCTTCACGACACACCTCCTTTGCAAAGTGGTCCCAGCCTCCCAGCCTCCTCTTCCTCCTTCCTCTGATCCTCCATACACCCTGGTTCCCCAAATCAGAGCCCTTATCACAACGAGCTATAACCACTGATCTATCTAGTCTACTTCCCCCCTTTACTGTGACCCCCTGAAGGCAAGGGACTACATTGCGGTTATTTCTATATTCTAAACATCTAGCATAATGCCTGACATTTATTGTAGGCATTTGATGAGTTGAATAAACATATAGATTATCGTATTTCCTCAGTCTTGGTCTCCATCAATTCTAACAATGTAACATCGGTTTAAATAGCCCCACCGCACTCAGTATAGGCCTCATTTACCAGATGTGTGCCAATCTGCACAGATGCTAAGGAGTGAGGATCCCAGATCCTCTTGGAATCAAGGACATGTTGAAACTGAGGACGGACAGTAATAGCATGCAGCCGGAGTGCTGAGGTCTGGGAGGGGTACAGAGGTAAAAGAGATGAAATCAGGAGCTCTCAATAACACAGAAAAGCTACAGAAAGGCTCCTGCTTTTGTGTGCATACCAAACACAGTAGTGTTCCCCAAGGCTAGCTGCTCCCTCTGGACCCACCCCAGAAATCAGGCAAGAACACGATGGTGGGCACCTTGCTCCCAGTATGAGTCTGTGTATAAGCGAGGCACTGGCCTCTCCTGCTCACGCAGGGAGCCATCTTCAAGGCCTTTACCCCAGTGCCATGCTCCACTCCCACTTCACCTCCCGGGGACACCCCACGGCCACAACGACCGCCCCAGACGCTCACTCGGGAGCAACACCTTGGGCTGGGGCAGTGTTACCATCTGAGGAGGCGTGATGGTGGAATGCAAAGGAACCCAGACAGCCCCGAATCTGAGTCCTGGCCCAGCCAGTTACGCACTGGGCTCTTTGAACCCCATCTATAAAATGGGGATAACAACGTCAAACCTGGAAGGCTCTGAAGAGCATCACAGTGCGCGCCGGGGACCCGGTCGGAGACAGGGTGGCTGTGGCCATGACCGTTCTCAGCTGGGTCAGAACACCTGGGAGCTGGCCTCCTCCCACGCCAGAGCGCCCCTTGTAAACCTGCGAGGCTTGGGTGGGAAACAGCTGGAAACTTGGATTTTACCCCTTCAGATTCGCTAAGCCCTGCAGGGAAGTTCCTAGAGACGATTCCTCACGAATGGACTTTTAATAGGGCCTGGCTGGCTGCTTTCTCCTCCTCGGCCAATAATCACCTCAGGGGAAACCTGTCCCCGGGGCTGGGCAGCCACAATGACTCACTCCCGGCCCCTCGGCTCCCTGAGGACAGGCTGCTCAAGTCCAGCCCGAGGCTGTGCCTCTGGCCCAGCTGCCTGCCACAGCCAGGCCCGGTGGTCAAGCAGCACACAGAACGGCTGGATGGAAAGCCCCCTCCTCCCGGGCAGGCAGAGGCCCAGCCACGGCCAGTGGGGGCAGAACTAAGTGCATGAGGATGAGCTTAAGCCCAAGGCCTTATTTCAAGGGATATAATCTGACCCCTGGGCTCGGTCACAAGAGGACACTGCCTCCCAGCCCCTAGCCAGGCCTACAGGCCCAAATCAGCCCCCTTCTCCCCAGGGCCCTCAGCGTTTTCCTCGGACCAGGCTCCAAGGAACAGACTCCACATTACAAAGTCCTCAGGGAGCTACTTCCAAGTCCTAGAAAACTGGAACCAAATGACCACTTGTTGCCTCTGAGGCCTGGAGCACAGACTCGGGAACACCTGCCCCAGGTGTGCGGGGTGGGGGTGGGGCGGCAGGCTGCAAGGGAGAGCAGGGCTTGCCCAGCAGGTCACCTCCCTTTGCTGAAAGAGCTCCAAGTGAATTAACCCATGATTCTCAATCAAGAGGACCGTTTGTAAGTTGCCTTGGGGAGTATCCAAGATGTCTTCTCGAAGAAAAGAAGTTCCACGAAGACAGAAAACAGTGGTCATGAATTCAGACTACAGCGCACCTTCCTTAACGCACCAGCTCCACCACTAACCACTGAGCGGCCGCCCCTCTGCGGCTCCGCATCGAGCAAGCCTCAGACTGCCCGCGTCTGTTTTAAAGGGGGAGCTAATGATACCTGCCTCACTCCTTTGTTGATAGAATTAAATTAGATACTGTAAATAAAGCACATAGGTCACATGGTTAAGTACCCAGGTAAGCGACACTATTTATTATCACTGTGTTATTTTTTCAGCAAACTCTCCATACTCAAGGGGCACAGCCAGATTCTCAGATGGGAACCAAAGAACATCCTCTTCTGACCAGCCACAGAGGAGGGGGTGGTCTGAAATCAGCACCAAGTTTGAAAAAGTTTCAGTGGAGGGAGGGAAGGTTTGTTTTCACATAGCAACAGTGTCATTACACTCAGAGAAGTAAGGCTTCTTGCAGGAAAACGATCAGGGTATCAAGTGATGGTTTATATGCACATCAAGATGCGAGCTCCACCTAGTTTAGCCTGTTTCTTTGCAAACTTATTTATTCTTTTGAATTAATAAATTAGTTATTCTTCGTTCTACCTCCCCTACACCCCTAGTCCCAAATTAATCCATGCTTGAACTAATCTACGGGAAAAGCACGGGCCAAGAGGAACTGACAAGGTAATTAATTAGCCATTTCTAGGAACCCACTGTGCAGTTCTCGAACTCAGGGTTGCTCTGGCCCCAGAGGTACAGATACAAACCATGGAATTTGCTCCGATCCCATTCTGGAGCCTCCAGGGAAGGCTGAAAGGTCAACTGATGGGTCCTTCCTCGAGAGACAAAAAGTGTGTGTACGTCAACCTAAGTGCGGTTATTCTCTGCTTAACAGTACTACTGAACGTAGCTGGTATTCCTAAAGGTTCTTTAAAACAGTGTGTTTGTAGATAACTAAATTTTATCTCTGATTCATATACTTAAATATTTTTGGCTTGGCCCTGGCCGGGTAGCTCAGCCACTTAGAGTATCGTCCCCATATGCCAAGGTTGCAGGTTCAATCCCTGGTCAGGCATATACGAAAACCAACCAATGAATACATACATTAGTGGAACAACAGATGTCTCCTCTCTCTTCTCTCTCTCTCTCTCTCTCTCTCTCTCTCTCCCCCTCTCAAATCAATGTTTTTAAAAAGATTTTTGGCTTGAAGTCCTTTGTATAAACAGCCCAGTGGTGTACTGCAGGTCAACTTCTATCCAAATCAAGACAAAATATGAAATTATTTTAAGCCTGTTCATCTTCATTAGCCCAACTCGTGGACACCTGGCAGACGTGGGGGGCCGGCACTCCCAGCAAAAGCAGGTGAGTGAGTGATGAGGACAGAAGAGCAGAACAAACACCCCTCACAGGACAGAGCGGGCCGGGAGCGAGCGGAGGAACACAGCGAGGACAACAAGGGAGACAGATGGACAGACAGCAGTGACCACCGGCACCACGCCCCAAATGGAGACCACCACCTGCCACTTTCCAGCGCCTTCTCCATCACCACCAGCCCATGCATGACCTCACCTGGGCCTCGGTCACCTGCGTCCATGTCTTTCAGAGGAGAGGCACAGGGGTGGAGGTTATTTGTTCAAATGTCACAGCTAGTTCACAGCAGTGTGGGAACTTGAATCCTGACCTCCAAGCTCTCATGAAATTGCAGAATGGACAGAGAAAACTTCAGTGATCACTAGTCCAACCCAAACATTTCACAAATGAGGAAACTGAGGCCCAGAGGCAAGGTAGCCTGATGGCTAGCACCTAGCTGTGGCAGGCGTGCTGGGCCTGAGGGAACTGACTGTGTCTCTTTGTGCCTGTGACCCTCCAGCAATGGGACTCTTCCAGGGGGAGGAGGAGGAGGTGGGATCAACAGTCAGTCAAGGAGGCAGCTGGAAGAGTCTTCTGCCCCAGTCTGAGTAGAGGCG